GTACTTGGGACAATATTTAATGATATGGGCCGGGTCACCGCAATATATGCACTGACCCTGGTCCATACGTTGCTGCCATACTCGCTGGTCTAGGCCCATATCTTCCCATGGTCGGCCTTGTGGCCAGCCTGGGTGCCAACCTCCTCTCCTCTGAGGTGATCCTCCACCTCGTCGCTGCGGGGACCGACTAGGACCTTGACGATTTGGCGGGGGACCTTGACCCCTACCTCCCTCTTGGCGGTTCCTTTGGCCTCCAACCCCCTGTGCGCACGGTCCTCGACCACCCGTGGCCTGGCCCCTTTGGCCCTGGCCTCCTCCTCTACCTTGCGGCCTCCCTCGAGCCGTGACAACAACATAGGTCCTCCCCTGGCCTACACTAATGTCCTCCTCCTCTAGCCCCCACTCGATCTGACTGTAGGGGACTTCATCTGTACCACCTTCATCTAAAGTAAGGATCAAGTGATCCTTGGCCCTGACCTGGCCTGAGGTGGTACGGCCTTTCCACTTCTTTCCCTTATCTAAATCCTTATGCCAGAAAGTGGAAACTGGCATGGACTTCGCCTTGAACAGGACCACGTCCCTACTCAACACATCGTATGTGATATTGGCCTATTGGGTCTTATCGAAGAAATGCCCTCGCACGGGCTCTGGCATGGCACGATAAAATAATTGGACCAACTGGGTCTTAGTGACCCCGTGGTCAGGGACGGCTACTAAGTCGTCCATGACAGCTTTGAGTGCTCACGCACTCTTCCGCTGTCGCGAGTGGATGGTTTGAAGCTTGTCAGAGGTCTTGACGCCCCTTGTGACGTCAGCGAACCTCTCTAGCAGGAGTTTAAGAAAAGTAGAAAGAGGGGTGAACCTAGAGTACGCAATCAGCTGCGCGCGCAAGGGACCTGGCGAAGCTAGCTGCTTCGTGCTTCAATGCGTGGAAGGGTACGAGGACTTGTTCCTCGGGCGCGATATGCTGTAAATAGACATACGTATTAATGCTAGCCTCCCAATTATCAAACTTATCATCCTTTTTCCCGCTATAAGCGTCGGGAAATTTGAGCTTGACTGACTCTTTGCGGGGACGCGACGAGGCCTCTGCTGTGGCCACTACCTTGGCGGCTTCAACGGCGTCGACGCAGAACTTCTCTGCCCCTTCCTTCAATCTCTTTACTTCGGTCCCGACGTGGGTCACCAGGTCGTGCGCAAACTCTCTAAAACCTGACAGGATGGCATGAAGGGTCACATCTAGACCCTTATTGGCCTGATGCTCCTCAAGCCAGGCCTGACTTCAGACTTCCAGATAACCCAAGATCTTATCTAGCTTGGCCGGGGTTTCAGCTTGCGCTTGCACTTCCAGCCTTTACGCCTGAATCTTTACCACCTCTTTGGCCATCCGGTTGGCCTCCTCCCTCCTTCTCTTCTTCTCCCTTGCCAGACGTAACTTCCACTCCAACCTCTTCTCGTCTTCCATCGTTTGCGTTCCAGGGGGTCCTCCTAAGCTTCTAGCTCCCTGGCAAATGCTTCTCTCTCCTCTTCTTCTTCTCCCAGTGATAAATTAGCCACCCACTCGCTAATCTTCTTCTCCATCCACTTGTCCTCTGCCTTCGTGCCATTGTGTCAACCATGGTGTCGGGTGCACAACCGGGCAACGGTTCCACTCCTCACCACTTAGACTCTACCCCCTTAACTGACACGACCTACTCACTCGATCTAAGGACCACAGAATCCGTACAGGATCCTGTCAACTAGGGTCACTAGCCTAGACCTACTCTAAGGTTGTCACTACAGGACCAGTTGCTGATCAGGAGGCATTTAAGGAGATCCCCCGTAACTGCTAAGGAATTCTTTAATGTCGCAGACAGGACGATGCGATTAGCAGGTCCTCTCAAGACTTAGACGGCCTGTTGTGCAGCCCACAACTCGGATTTTGGGCCTACCGTGCCACACCGAGCAGCCCGCCGGTCAGTACTGGTCCTTGGGAGGGTTTGTGTCCTCTGGGAAAGTCGAGTCGTCAGACACAGTCTTTAGCCCTACTCAGCCCGTGTGGGTTTGGTCAACAAGGCCCTATCCTTCATTCACAGAGTCCTATCACCTGGTCAGAAGAGACTCGATGCAGAAAGAAGAGACAGACATACTTGACTCAGCAAGTACCACAGGGTGTGTGCACATCCATAGGGCGAGGGGATAGGCTGAAGCTTGGCGAGATTATACCGGCTCCGGCTTGGTCAAATTCGTGATCAGCAGTCTTGGTCAACGCCTTGGTCAACGCTGCAGTCAACCCCCGTCAACTCCCGATCAACTCTCGATCAACTCTCGGTCAACTCCGGTCAACGCCCAGTCAACGTCTGGTCAACTCCCCCGGTCAACTCTTCCGGTCAGCTATGGCTTCCGTCTTCTCCTTCCTCACCACCCTTCTCCTTCCTTTCTTCTTCCTTGCCTCTTTTTTCTTCTTCACCCCGTCTGTCTTCTCTTTCTTTTTCTTTTTGTTCTCAGTTCTCCCTTCTTCTTCCTCCCCTTCACTTCTCTCTTCGGTCTCTCCCTCTGTCCTCTCTTTCACCTCCTTCGTCACTCTGTGGTCGAGCTCTGCGGCTATGGCCGCCTCCTTCTACGTTGGACTGCACAGCGGACTTCACAGGTACGTGACAACCAATCTTGTCTCTCTCTCTCTCTCTCTCTCTCTCTCTCTCTCTCTCTCTCTCTCTCTCTCGCCGTAGTGATGTCTTCAACAAAGGTATGTAGTAAACCAAACTT